TTCATAATAACACCAGGAGACATTTGTATTTATTACTCTGTTTCATAATAACACCAGGAAACATTTGTATTTATTACTCTGTTTCATAACAACACCAGGAAACATTGGTATTTATTACTCTGTTTCATAACAACACCAGGAGACATTTGTATTTATTACTCTGTTTCATAATAACACCAGGAAATATTTGTATTTATTACTCTGTTTCATAACAACACCAGGAGACATTTGTATTTATTACTCTGTTTCATCATAACACCAGAAAACATTTGTATTTATTACTGTTCCATCATAACACCAGGAAACATTGGTATTTATTACTCTGTTTCATAACAACACCAGGAAACATTGGTATTTATTACTCTGTTTTATAACAACACCAGGAGACATTGGTATTTATTACTCTGTTTCATAACACCAGGAAATATTTGTATTTATTACTCTGTTTCATAACACCAGGAAATATTTGTATTTATTACTCTGTTTCATAACAACACCAGGAAACATTTGTATTTTTTATTATGTTTTACTTCAGAGCTTCTTCAAAAGCCTAAGCAGGCTCTGTCGTATTTTGAGATTCTGTACATAGAAGCTTTAAGTGGAGCTTTAAGTAATTCTATGTAGATATTACTTTATTGAAAGACAAAATATTATAAAAAATATGAATGATAAACCTAACTGGAAAACTTTAAACACTATTTTACAAATAAAGAATATAAATTACTGTGTATTTGATTGATCTGTCTAGTTTGTCCATTTATTTTAAAATTATATAAAAATAAAACACAACATTTCAACATAGAAATGGTACGATCAGTAATTACTAGACAAAAATACAATATTCCATAATGGATTGTTTGGGGTATAAACAAAATACTAACACCATAAAGCTACTCAATTAATTTTCAAGACCTCAACAAGATGCAGTTGTACTTATTGGTATAGTTTCTATGGCAACACCAAAAGGATGTTTTATATGATTTAAAGCTTCTTTTTAAGAAACATTGCAAGTAAAGGCATTAAAACTCATGATGCAAAAAAAGTCAACTTTTAGGAAAAGTAGCCATCAATCTATGCAACAAGAAACAACATAAAATAATTAACTATTTAAAAATGAGAACAAACCTATGGTATCTGTCTCTCCCTGCAGCTGAGTTACCAAATGTTCTAACTGTTGCTTTTGGTCGGAAAGTTCAGCAATTTGGTCCATCGTTTTCTTGAATTTCTCCTGTCATGAAATAAACTCAGTAATTACAAACATAATCATACGTACAGACACAAAAAAACCTTGACTACACATCCTGTGGAAAACAATTAGTTTAGAAAGGATAAATAAAATTTTACTTTCTTATATTTCCTTGATCTGAAATGTACAGTGCAGTGGTGAATAGTTAAACAATCACAAGTATTTGTTTCTCCTAACCGAGCTGATAAAAGGAAGATTAAACTGGTACTTTCCGGAACAAACTCCAATAACTTAACAAATAAATAAGAGAAAACAACCTGTTCTTGGAATCTGAATTACATACGAAATAAATTAAACCAACCTATTTTCAAAGTTTAGAATAAAATTTCTATCAAAAGAAATCATAAGATTGTTCGTAGAGAAAAATGAAATTATAATTATTACTGACAAAACAGATAAACGATAATCTTTAATACATACCTCAAGCTGTTTCATAGAATTCTTTAAGGATTCATGATCTTCTTTAAGAACTATATCCCCTTCGTTAATTAAAAAAAAATCAAACAGGGATTTTTATTTTTTTTGTTTTATATAATTATGTTTTTGAATAAACATTCACAGCACTGAAATAAGTTTAAAATTGTTTTATTTTACTGTTAATATGCACAAATGGTAAAAATAAAATTCAGAGTTGGTAACAGTGAAAGAAGAAAATTTTAATCAGCTGTTTAATATATATATCAAACATTTAACTATTTCAGCACGGGCTATGTCCCTGGGATCAACCCCGTAACCATTTTGTGCTTGTTGTAGTTTTCATGCTATAACTTTTAAATTAGTTAGCGAATGTTAACGAAATTTGGCAGATTATCGTATGAAAGCATTGTAATGTTTATTAACAAAATATAATTTTTTTTTTATTAAGTCTTAAGGTTTGTAAAGCAATGTTTTACTCATGTCTTTTTTTTTTCTTTTTGCATGTTGCCTATCCAACATGCAAAGTAATTTTCATTTTAAGATTCAATATACTTTTGTGCATCAGAAAATTTTCAAATTTCACATGCCAAGTCTTTAAAATGTCCAGATAGTTATCAAACATTTCTTAATAAAAAACTATTTTATCTATTATTTTCAGTAACAAATCTCTGTACGAATTTAGTCAATTTGAATGATCTCGTACCACATTAAAAAAAAAAGGAAATAAATATAAGTTATGCTTTTTTCGTTCTAGAATGACTACAAATTACTAACAAGAAAACATAAATGTTTAGA